GTGCTCTGGGGTTAGGTCCTCATGACCACTTCTGGGTTTCTGCCCTGCCCACCCTCTGGAGAAGGTGGGCACTGGATTAGTTAACACGTTTCTAGCAGTCACTTGATCTCTGTGGCTTTGGTTTAAAAGACAGACACTTGTCCACATGGGTTTAGAGATAAGAGTTGGCTGGTCAACTTGAGCATGTTACTGACAGAGGGGGTATTGGGGTTATTTTCTGGTAGCAACAGCATGTCACTAAAGCAGGCCTTTTGATATTAAATTTTTTAAAAAGCAAAATTATAGAAGTTTAGATTTTAATCAAATTTATAGGGTTTCTAGGTAATTTTTACAGAATTGCTTGTTTGCTTCAGCTGTCTCCTACCTCTGCTCTTGGAGGAGATGGGGACAGGGCTGGAGTCAAAACACTTGTAATTTTGTATCCTGATGTCTTTGTTAAGACTGCTGAGGAATTATTTTTTTTCTTTTATAATAAGAAATAAACCCCACCTTTATTCCTTCATTTCACCTACCGTTTTCTGGTTCTTATGTTGGCTGTGGCAGGCCAGCTATGGTTTTCTCTTGTCATGACAACTTCTAATTGCCATGTACAGTATGTTCAAAGTCAAATAACTCCTCATTGTAAACAAACTGTGTAACTGCCCAAAGCAGCACTTATAAATCAACCTAACATAAGATCTCTCTGATGTGTTCGTGGTTCTTTCAAATCCCCATGTACCATTATATTCCTTTATTTCCTAAAACAGGCAAAATAAGCTCAAGTTTATGTACTCTTTGAGTTTTTAAAACACTGGAGTGATGTTGCTGACCAGTCCTTTCCTGTACCTCTCTAGCTTGGGTATTTGGGACTACTGGGATTAAGTTTTTCACCTAGACTTAATAACACACAATCTTGGCATTTCCTAGCCTAGAGTTTTATAGCAGGGTACAACCCCCACTCCTCCCCATTCTGTGCTCCCCTGAGTTTGGTTTTGGCTTACCATAACATTGTTTTGACCATTCCTGGCCTAATAGCCTAAAATACTTAATGTATGATTAACTGGCTTTACAATTTCTACTATCTGTTGTCAGTGATTCATTTAAGTAACATATTAGCTACCCTGCTTCACTGGTTGAAGCCTTCCAAGGCTGGCCATGTCCTAGGCATGAGCTCGTCCTTGGGTGTATCTTGCCTTGCAGGAAGACCAGTGGACTGCTTGTGATTCTCAAAAACTCTGTGTTGTCACCCGTGCCCTTGCCCCTTGCTCTACCTTGGTCCGTGTATCTGCAAGTTCTTCCACTTTATCCTGGCCAATTCCTACCTTCATTCATTCCTCATGAGGCTGAGTAAAAGCTCCCTCCGGCTCCCTTGATGCTGTGCACATACCTAGCAAAAAGCAGTTATTCGACACGGCGTGCAATATTATTAACATTAATACTACTAATAATGTGGGTAATAATGATTGTTTTTAAAAGGCAGAATACTCTTATCAGTTTGAGATAGCTGGGGCCTGTGATAGTATTTAGATATGACACAGTTCTTCAGGCAACTGTATTTTACACTAGTCAAGTAATCCTAGATATCCATGGTTTTTCTTAAGAAAGTTGGCTCCTGGTATGATTTAATATTCAAAGTAGAGTCATCTACCTATTAGCTTGCTGGCATGGTCCTAGTTTATGCCTGTTGTTTCAGCATGATTGTTGAGTACCCTCTTTCATCCTTAGCATTTTCTTGATTTTGTTGTTAAATAATGCATACCCTTATTTCCATTGAATCTCTACTTCCACCTCCCCAACAGAAGTTGTCTTCCCTTTGCTTAGTCACCCTTACAGCCTCTTGGATAGTGTCTCCTACACAGTGTAAACACTAAACTGAAGAGGCAGTGACCTGAGCACTTTGGATTTCATTCATTGTAATCAATTCCCTGACAAAATGATTGCATGAGAAGGAATTTTAAGTTCATAGGATCAGAATTTAGGTGAAAACAACCAGCATATTTGTTTCTCCCCCTTCTCACCTAGAATTAACTTTGACCTAGAGGTCACAGTGCAATCCCCTTGTATTTCTAAAAAATTCTATTTCATTTTACAATATGCAGATATATGTCCATACACATGCATAATATAAATGTATACCATATTTGTAAACATATACCATATTTGTATACATTTATATTATACATTTGTATTTCTAAGGTGTTTTTTATAGTTCATTTGCAGACACTGGGTTATGTGATAACTTTTATCAGTAATAGATTAAACAGAATAATGACCAAATTTTCAACCTTAAGGAGTCAAGCCAGTATTTACAAAAGGAGGTCTCCATGAACTCCTTAAACATGAGTTCCCCTAATATCATCTTGCCAGGTACTAGATAACAACTAAGTGACAGCACAAGCTATAGGGAATTTGAAAGAATTCCATGGATGGGTGCTGTATAGGGCCTTTTATTGTTTTTGAGACAATCTCACTCTCGCCCAGGCTGGAGTGTAGTATGGCGTAATCTTGGCTCACTGCCACCTCTGCCTCCCAGATTCAATCGATTCTCCTGCCTCAGCCTCCCAAGTGGCTGGGACTTGGCACCACCATGCCCGGCTAATTTTTGTATTTTTAGTACAGATGGGGTTCCACCATGTTGGCCAGGCTGGTCTGGAACTCCTGACCTCATGTGACCCCCCTACCTCCGCCTCCCAAAGTACTGGGATTACAGGTGTGAGCCACCGTGCCTGGCCTAGGGCCATTTAAAAAGCCAGATCTGTGCTGCTGTGTAGAATGGTAGACAGGTGGATGAGAAGTTCCTGAACTATTCTTGGCCCTTTTACCACTAAGTGAAAGTAACTTGCTGCCCCAAAGAAAGATGTCTCATCATTCAATAGGACTTCCTAATTGAACTTCATGAAAGCAAGAGATCCTGTTTTTCTTGCTCACCACTGTATCTTGAGACCTGTTGTAGTGCCTGCAATACTTGTTTAATAAATTATTTTTAAGTATCAGTTTTGTGAGCTTTAACTCTATGAGGTCTTTATTATTTGACTGTATTTTAACTCTGGCCATGACAGGAAGACAACGTTCCATTTTTATTGAGCGTAAAAAGAATCAAGGCCAGGTGAAGTGGCTTACGCCTGTGATCCCAACACTCTGTGAGGCTGCAGCGGGAGGATCTCTTGAGCTCAGGAGTTTGAGACCAGCCTAGGCAACATAGTGAGGTCCAGTCTCTACAAAAAAAATTTTTTTTTTAATTGCACGCCTGCAGTCTCAGCTATCAGGAGGCTAAGATGGGAGGATCACTTGAGCCCAGGAAATTGAAGCTGCAGTGAGCTATGATTGCACCACTGCACTCCAGCCTGGGTGACAGATTGAGACCTTGCCTAAACAAAACAAAACCCCAAAAAACAAGTTGAAAATGTTGATTCTTTTTACTACCAACATTATGGCAGGACTAAAAACTTCGTGGGAGTGTACTGTGGAAAATAGTGATAATTATTTCTGGTTGTAATCAGGCTACCAAGAGCCTCGTGTTGCTTTAAGAGTTATAACTGCCAGGCACAGTGGCTCATGCCTGTAATCCCAGCACCTTGAGAGGCCGAGGCAGGTGGATCACCTGAGGTCAGGAGTTCGAGACCAGCCTGACCAATATGGTGAAACAAACCCTGTCTCTACTAAATACAAAAAATTAGCCAGGCGTGGTGGCACATGCCTGTAATCCCAACTACTTGGGAGACTGAGGCAGGAGAATTGCTTGAACCTGGAAGGCGGAGGTTGCAGTGAGCCAAGATCACACCATTGTACTCCAGCCTGGGCAACAAGAGGGAAACTCCATCTCAAAAAAAAAAAACGTTATGACTGAGGCCGGGCATGATGGCTCATGCCTGTAATCCCAGCATTTTGAGAAGCTGAGGCAGGTAGATCACTTGGGCTCAGAAGTTCGAAACCAGCCTGGGCAACGTGACAAAACCCCATCCCTACAAAAATTTTGAAAAATTAACTGGACATGGTGGCATGTACATGAAGTCATAGTTATCTGGGAGGCTGAGGTGGGAAGATTACTTGAACCCGGGTGGTTGAAGCTGCAGTGAACCATGGTTGTGCCACTGCACTCCAGCCTGGGCAACAAAGTGAGACCCTGTCTCAAAAAACCAAAAAAATTATAACTGATGTAAACTGGTAGTTTAGGCTGGGTGTGGTGGTTCAAGCCTGTAATCCCAGCACTTTGGGAGGCCAAGGCAGGTGGATCACCTGAGTTCAGGAGTTCGAGACTAGCGTGACCAACATGGTGAAACCTTGTCTCTACTAAAAATACCAAAAATAGCAGGATGTGGTGGTGGGTGCCTGTAATCCCGGCTACTCAGGAGGCTGAGGCAGAGGTTGCAATAAGCAAAGATCACTCCATGTCACTCCAGCCTGGGCAACAGAGTGAGACTCCATATCAAAAATAAATAAATAAATAAATAAAGTGACAGTTCATCATTTAACTCCAAAGACTTCGGGTACATTTCTACTGTAAACAATC